AAATTTGTATCATAAAAAATTGGAAATATCTACTTTCCGGGAAAGTTGGTTATCTACTTCCCCGAAAAGTAGATAGATTTTCTAATTTTCAGGAAAGTAGATTATCGACTTTTTGGGAAAGTAGATTTTCGTATTTTCGGGGAAATATTGCCTAATTTTGGGAAATAGATTATCATAGAAAACGGGAAATTTGTATCATAAAAAATGGGAAATATCTACTTTCAGGGAAAGTTGGTTATCTACTTTCCCGAAAAGTAGATAGATTTTCTACTTTTCGGGAAAGTAGATTATCGATTTTTCGGGGGAATAGATTTTCGAATTTTGGGGGAAATATTACCTAATTTTGCGAAGTAGATTATCAAAGAAAACGGGAAATTTGTATCATAAAAAATGGGAAATATCTACTTTCCGGGAAAGTTGGTTATCTACTTCCCCGAAAAGCTGATAGATTTTCTACTTTTCGGGAAAGTAGATTATCGACTTTTCAGGGAAGTAGATTATCGACTTTTTGAGAAATTTTACCTAATTTTCTGAAGTAGATTATCATAGAAAACGGGAAATTTGCATCACAGAAAATGGGAAATAATCTACTTTCCGGGAAAGTTGGTTATCTACTTTCCTGAAAAGTAGATTATCTACTTTTCGGGAAAGTAGATTATCGACTTTTCAGGGAAGTAGATTATCGACTTTTTGAGAAATTTTACCTAATTTTCAGAACTAGATATTCATAGAAAACGGGAAATTTGTATCAAAGAAAATGGGAAATATCTTACTTTCCGGGAAAGTTGGTTATCTACTTTCCGAAAGTAGATTATCTACACAAAGGAAAGTAGATTATTGATTTTTTGGGGAAGTGATTATCGACTTTTGAAATATTACCTAATTTTCCGGAGTAGATTATCATAGAAAACGAAGTTTGTATCACAGAAAATGAAATATCTACTTTCCGGGAAAGTTGGTTATCTACTTTTCGAAAAGTAGATTCTCTACTTTCAGGAAAGTAGATTATTGATTTTTAGGGAAGTTGATTATCGACTTTGAAATATTACCTAATTTTCCGAAGTAGATTATCATGAAAACAGGAAATTTATCTGAAAATGGGAAATATCTACTTTCAGGAAAGTTGGTTATCTACTTTCGAAAAGTAGATTATCTACTTTTCGAGAGAAGTAGATTATTGATTTTTAGGGAAGTAGATTATCGACTTTGGGGAAATATTACCTAATTTTCCGAAGTAGATTATCATGAAAACGGAAATTTATTATCACAGAAAATGAAATATCTACTTTCAGGAAAGTTGGTTATCTACTTTTCGAAAAATGAATTATCTCGGGAAAGTAGATTATTGATTTTCAGGGAAATATTGCCTAATTTTCCGAAAGTAGATTATATACAACAGTATCACAGAAAATGAAATATCTACTTTCCAGGGAAAAGTTGGTTATCTACTTTTCGAAAAGTGATTATCTACTTTTCAGGAGAGTAGATTATTGATTTTTAAAGGGAAGTAGATTATCGACTTTGAGGGAAATATTACCTAATTTTCCGAAGTAGATTATCATAGAAACAGGAAATTTGTATCACAAAAATGGGAAATATCTACTTTCAGAGGTTGGTTATCTGCTTTTCCGAAAAGTAGATTATCTCTATTCGGGAAAGTAGATTATTGATTTTTAGGAAATGAATTATCACGACTTTTGGGGAAATATTACCTAATTTCAGAAGTAGATTATCATAGAAAACAAGGAAATTTGTATCACAGAAAATGGAAATATCTACTTTCAGGAAAGTTGGTTATCTCTTTCCGAAGTGAATTATCTACTTTCAGGAAAGTGAATTATTGATTTTGAAATGGTATCGACTTTTGGGGAAATATTACCTAATTTTCCGAAGTAGATTATCATAAACAGGAAATTTGTATCACAGAAAATGGGAAATATCTATAGGAAAGTTGGTTATCTACTTTCGAAAAGTAATTATCTACTTTTCAGGAAAGTAGATTATTATGGATTTTAGAAGTAGATTATCGACTTTTGGGAAATATTACTAATTTTTCCGAGCAGTTATCATAGAAACGAAATTTGTATCACAGAAAATGAAATATCTACTTTCCGGAAGTTGGTTATCTGCTTTTCGAAAGTAGATTATCTACTTTCGGGAAAGTAGATTATTGATTTTTAGGGAAGTAGATTATCGACTTTTTGGGAAATGACCTAATTTTTCAGTAGATTATCGACTACAAAAATCGTAATCTACTTTCACGAAAAAGTGAATAATCTACTTTCGGAAAGTAGATAACCAACTTTCCCAGCGATATTCCCATTTTATAATAAGTACCGTTTATGACATCACTTCGGAAAAAATGATATTTCCCCAAGCGGTAATCTACTAAAATAATCTCCCGAAACATCTGCACGGGTAGACAATGCTTCCCGAGCTGATATTCCATTTTCTACAAAATATTCATATTTCCCGAGTAGATAATCTTTCGGAAAAGTGAATAACCAGCTTTCCCCGAAGTAGGCTTCCCCATTTTCTCAATACAAACTTCGTTTTCTGCGCTGAAGGTGGGTATTCCCAAGCGTAATCTACTACAAAATCAATAATCACTCAATGGTAATCTACTTTTTCGGAAAGTGAGCTTTCCCCGAAGCGTCCATTTTCTGTGACATTCCACTATGATAATCTACTTCGAAGAATAGTAGCCTATTTAAAAAGTAATGTCTCTCCCGAAAAATCAGGCTGTCTACTTTTCGGAGAAAGTGAATATTTCGAAATAGATGACTATTTTCATGATCGTTGCCTGATAATCTGCTGGAAAATTCAAATCAATCCTGTTGTGTCTACTTTCCCCGAAACAGATAATCTACTTTCGGAAAGTAGTGTAACTTTCCCCAGTAAATATTCCATTTTCACTGTACAAATGATAATCTACTTCGGAAAATGAATTAATATTTCCCAAAAAGTTGATATTCTACTTCCAAAAGCTAGATAATCTACTTTCCCAATAACTATTTTCATCCAGTTTCTTGAACTTTAAGGTGAAATAACTAAGTTTGTCATGGCTCAGTGGTTGAGTCCTGCTTACTCTTCATGGTGGTCCTTTACTCCTATTTGTATTTATTTTTGTTATATGTATATTTTTAGCCCTTATCAGCTTACTGTTTTATTGATCTTTATTGGGAATTGATCACATGATCAGTAAAATTACATTATGGATACTAGAGTTGAGCACTTGGAGGCTTTATTAATACATTACACCAGAAAATGAGAAACAATATTTGTAATACAATAACATAATACAATAAAGTACACATTAGGGATATGGAACTAAGATAATATATAGTACATACAACAGAATTAAGAGGGTGATGCCTCAGTCATCTGGTGGTGGTGGTGGTGGTGGTAATGTAGCCTCCGTCATCTGGTGGTAGTGTTGGTGGTGCCTCAGTCATCTGGTGGTGGTGTTGGTGGTGGTAATGTAGCTTCAGTCATCTGGTGGTAGTGTTGGTGGTAATGTAGCCTCCGTCATCTGGTGGTAGTGGTGGTGGTGGTAATGTAGCCTCCGTCATCTGGTGGTAGTGTTGGTGGTGCCTCAGTCATCTGGTGGTGGTGTTGGTGGTGGTAATGTAGCTTCAGTCATCTGGTGGTAGTGTTGGTGGTGGTAATGTAGCCTCCGTCATCTGGTGGTAGTGTTGGTGGTGGTAATGTAGCCTCAGTCATCTGGTGGTGGTGTTGGTGGTGGTAATGTAGCTTCAGTCATCTGGTGGTGGTGTTGGTGGTGGTAATGTAGCCTCAGTCATCTGGTTGGTAGTGTTGGTGGTGCCTCAGTCATCTGGTGGTGTTGGTGGTGGTAATGTAGCTTCAGTCATCTGGTGGTAGTGTTGGTGGTGCCTCAGTCATCTGGTGGTGGTGGTAGTGGTGCCTCAGTCACCTGGTGGTGGTAGTGGTGGTGCCTCATCACCTGGTGGTGGTGGTGGTAGTGGTGCCTCAGTCATCTGGGTGGTGGTAGTAGTGGTGCCTCATTCATCTGGTGGTGGTGATAGTGGTGCCTCAGTCATCTGGTGGTGGTGGTGGTAGTGGTGCCTCAGTCATCTGGTGGTGGTGGTGGTAGTGGTGCCTCAGTCATCTGGTGGTGGTGTAGTGGTGCCTCAGTCATCTGGTGGTGGTGGTGGTGGTGCCTCAGTCACCTGGTGGTGGTGGTGTTAGTGGTGCCTCAGTCACCTGGGTGGTAGTGTTGGTGGTGCCTCAGACATCTGGTGGTGGCGTTGGTGGTGGTAATGTAGCTTCAGTCATCTGGTGGTAGTGTTGGTGGTGCCTCAGTCACCTGGTGGTGGTGGTGCACTCAGTCATCTGGTGGTAGTGTTGGTGGTGCCTCAGACATCTGGTATTGGTGTGGTGGTAAATAGCTTCAGTCATCTGGTGGTTCGGTGCCTCGACATCTGGTGGTGGTGGTAGTTGCTCAGCACCTGGGTGGTGTGTGGTAGTGGTTCCAGTCTGCCTGGTGGTGGTGGTGCCTCAGTCATCTGGTGGTGGTGGTAGTGGTGCCTCATTCATCTGGTGGTGGTAGTGGTGCCTCAGTCATCTGGTGGTGGTGGTAGTGGTTCCTCAGTCATCTGGTGGTGGTGGTAGTGGTGCCTCAGTCACCTGGTGGTGTTAGTGGTGCCTCAGACATCTGGTGGTGGTGGTGGTGGTGGTAATGTAGCTCAGTCATCTGGTGGTAGTGTTGGTGGTGCCTCAGTCACCTGGGTGGTGGCGGTGGTAGTGGTGCCCAGTCATCTGGTGGTGGTGGTAGTGGTGCCTCAGTCACCTGGTGGTGGTGGTAGTGGTGCCTCAGTCATCTGGTGGTGGTAGTGGTGCCTCAGTCATCTGGTGGTGGTGGTAGTGGTGCCTCAGTCATCTGGTGGTGGTGGTAGTGGTGCCTCAGTCATCTGGTGGTGGTGGTAGTGGTGCCTCAGTCATCTGGTGGTGGTGGTAGTGGTGCCTCAGTCATCTGGTGGTGGTGGTAGTGGTGCCTCAGTCACCTGGTGGTGGTGGTAGTGGTGCCTCAGTCATCTGAGGGGTTTAACCAATTAATTACATTCAGAAAAACACAAAAACACCAAAATCTCACCTGGGAAACCCATAGTTGGCTAGTAATTAGCATTGAAAGAGTCCTAAAAATACTTCAAGCCTCATTAAGGCCACTAATTACCCCCCAATCGAAATGAGGATCATAGATTTGCAATCAGCATGCTCAGGAGTACATATACTGAGATTTTCAGGGCAAAAATAGTGACACCTTATCTCCTGGCTGGAAATGTCTATCCAGAGTATCTTTATCATAATGTGTTTTCATTTTTTCCTGAGCATCAAATAAATTAATTTGGGCTACCTCTTGTGCCTTTCTTAACCTACTTTTCATTTTTAATACATAATCACTAAGGGTCACAGAGTCGTCTACATCAAGCCAACTTTCTTGTAATAATTTCAAAGGACCTCTAAAATAAAATAATAATTCATGAGGAGAATATCCCAAACTTGCTTGCTTAGTACAGTGATATCCCCGTTAGCCGGAACAATTGGTGCAGAGCACTTCCGGGAATGAGAGATTTCAGGGAAACGAGACAACTCTCTCAAAGCCGAAAAAAAATCCCTCATCCCCGGAATTTTACGGGTAACGGAAAATTTCTCTAGGAATTTCCAGAAAATGCGCCTGATTTTAATCTCTCAAACCCGGAAAAAACTCCACCATCCCCAGAATTTTCCGGGTTTCGGGAAAACTTTCTCTGAATTTTCCGGAAAATGTGCCCCTCAGAAAATCGTTCCCAAAGCCACAATTTTCTGGAAAATTCTGGCTTTGGGAACAATTTTCCGAGAAAATTTCAATTCTGGCTCTCGGAGAGTTCCGGGTTTGAGGGATTCCGGCTAACGGAGATATCACTACTGTACTTCCAACCTTTCCTCCTACCCATCCACCCAATCCTCCCTTCCACCTGCCCAATCCTCTCCCAATCCCACCCACCACTGACCCTCTCCTCCCACACACTCTACCTCCTTGGTTCCTTGGGCTGCAGAATTGTCCACCAGCATAAGATACCCACATTCAGCCTCTTCAGGGATACTGCAGTGCACATCTGAAATAAAAGATATAATGTACTTAAATATGTACTAATGTTTACTGTGTTGATGCAAGTTTGACCTATTCAGTATCATGCTAATAAATAAAGTTCAGCCCTATGTATATGATGATTTGACCCCTTGAGTATGATGATTTAACCACTTGAGTATGATGATTTGACCCCCTTGGGTATGATGATTTAATCCTTTGAGTACAATGATTTTACAGAGCAAAACTACTCTCAGCCAAGACCCTCAAAGGTAAATATATATCACACAGCAGAACTACTCTCAAAATTGACTTATCCAGTAAAGATGGTTGAGTTCACGGCCGACTTCATTTCACTTCCACTCTTGTTCATCATCCAGCTCCACATAGTTCTCCTCTCCAGCTCCACATAGTTCTCCTCTCCAGCCCCACATAGTTCTCCTCCCAATTGTAATTATCAGGATGGTCTTGTCCACCATCTTGGATAATGAACCACTGCATCTGAAACTCATTGGCATGATTATGTCTGTTTACATCTAGAATATTAACTACAGTATCACAATATGTGAATAAATCACTGTAGGTAGTAGGCAGCTACCAAACAGGGAGGTAATACCGCCTGGGAAGATATTGGAAGCATAATGTGTTGTCTAATAGTAGACCCTGCTGCCATATGGCATCACGAAAATTGTGACCATGTCCCAGGTTGCTGATCTGTCTTTCTGCTTCATTTACACTCAAATGCAGGGTCTCAATTGTCTCTCTTACTATTGACAACACAACATATATAACCTTTCTCACTCTTGATCTGTTCTATTCTTTCTACTCTTTTACTCTCCTATGATATCAGTTGACAATATTATTAAAGCGAGGCCTTCTTGGATGGGTCCCACAGGTCGGGAAGGTTGTGGACCCCAGGGCCGACCTGATCATCAACAAACTACTGAGGCCTAAACTGACGTCACCGCGGTTGCTGGAGGATCGGCTTTTTTCACTCTTCATTCTTCCAACATTCACGGCTTGAGATCCAATTTTCCTTCTGTGGAGCACCATCTATTAACCTCTTCCCCCCACCTCTTACTACTATCTGAACTTCAACTAACCAAAGCAGCTTCACCCAAACCATTTCAAGTCTTCAACTACAACCAAGGGAGGTGTATGCGCTTACTGCAACGAACGTACACATATAACTCGACTCAGGGATCTTGAATATTCTCTTTATGATGTCATCTGGCTCAGAATATCTCTACCAACTATGACTATTTTTCTTTGTTTCCTTGACTGTTCTCCCAACTCTACCAACTACATTATTTGGAACTCTTTGACTATCTCACTTCTTGCCATGAGTCGTTGCTATCCACACACCCCAACACCGAGATCCTCTACCTAGGGGATTTCAATGTACATCACGAGAGAGTGGCTTGGCTCTGCAAGGGATGACCCAGGTGGAGCTGAAGCACTCTCTTTATCCTTACTTAATGATCTGGAGCAAATAATTAAACAACCTACACGTGTTCCTGATCGACACGATCAACTTACTAACATTCTTGATTTTTGTTTTACTTCTAACACCTCACACTATTCATAATAAATTTCTGCCCCCTTAGGGGGCCCTCAACATCTCCAAAGCATTTGTCAGCGTATGGCACAAGTCTTTGCGTTCTAAACTTCCCTCTTATGGTTTCTCTCCCCCACTCTGTTCTTTAATTTCTAGCTTCCTTGAGAACTGATCCATGGCAGCTGCTGTACCATAATATTGTATTCAGACAGCTGCTGTACTATAATATGGGTAATTATTGACGATTTACCCTGACACTTTTCAAAACTCTGAACATTACAAGTTTCCACATTTTACTGTACACTTTACTTTAAAACAGATTTATAATTTTCTTGAGGCAATGGTCTAACCTAACTCCAAGTAAAGTATTTACCGTGAACTGTTTTCAACTTCTCCGTAAAACCACAGAAAAAACAAATTTTGCACAGAATTACAAACTACACTGTACACTGGAACAATTATGGAACAAAATTATTAGCAATCTGAAATATTCATTAGTTACAGTGAAATGATTAGGTACCTGTACAGACAAATGGTTAATACAAATCACACTTAAAAAAAAATTACCCACAGTATCACATTTATTCCTCCTGACCTGATACCATGTGAATTACACCCCACAGCTGCGAACCAATGTAACGGCGGCATTTTCTCTCTACTCATACTCTGCCTTATCTTTTACTCTTACTTCTCTTGTCTTAGTTCTTTCAATTGTTCTTTTTACTTACTTCAATGGTTACTACATAACCTTAGTTCTTTCTGGTAGCATGTCAAGGGTCTAAGGCACATGGGTATTGTAATTCTGATATCAGGGTCACTTGGACGGAAATAACGGTGAACTGCTGTGGGAGAAGTGAATACCCTACAGTACTCCTAAAATACTCTAAGAACAGGTTTATTAATATGAAATCAAAGGGAAAAAGAGATAATATTAACATATAACTTCAAGGTGTAACGCCTCGCTTATTGCAGACTCCGTATTTTCTTATTGCACACAACCTTACTGGTGTTTCATTACATTACATAGCAGGACCAGTTCCTTGGCCCTACTCACATTACATAGTTACATGACAACTCCTTGCAGATTACTTAACTGCCACTCCAAGTGGGTATTTCTACTTCACCCACATCTTCTAGTGGTACATTTCATTACAGTTACCAGGCTTTACTCATAGTCCCAAGTGGACAACTTTACTTCTCACACATTACTAGGTACAGTACTTTCCATTACATCCAGTTATAAGACAAACTGGCACATGATACTTCACAGACTGTTGGTAGTGCATATGAGATGCACTCACAACATACATGTTAATACTGAAACCAGCAAATACATGGGTCCACTACCCAACATGGGATAATTATTGCCCGCTAATTATCCCCAAACATACAACAACACTGTGGGCCATAACTCCAAGGCATGTCCCAGGGTATAGCACTGGCGCCTCTAACAACTGACGACTGCTGTTGTAGTCGGTGGAAGCCAGACACCTGGCAAGTCTAGTGTCTGAGGCTCACGAGGCGGACCTGCCGTCTCAATCATGTAGAATCACCGACATCAATGCTATCAATGCATATATTGATCCCTGCTGGGTACCCACCGGCTCAGCAGCCGATGGGGTGTTCAAATAAGCCCACCCTGGATCTGGGAACAAATGGGAGAGGACGTCACGGGACGAGAAGCATGGACAACACAATCACAACAAATCCTTCGTCTTGCAACGTCAGACGATATTTACTTTATATTACTTCTTACACTGGGTGAATGACAATTTCACTGTTAAAGCATGAACACTGATGAACACTGATATTCACTACAATTGACTGAATCAAACTGAATGGCTATAAAACACTGCTACATACCTGGGAACAAACGGGAGAGGACGTCACGGGACGCTCTCTCCCTCTCCCCTGTGGTTATATACCCCTGAGTTGCCAGCGATCACTACTCACGCAATGACAGAAATTACATACAACCCAACTGTTACACATTCAAGGATGACCCTCAGTTGACAAAGGTCTGGCGAATTACTAAAGTTGATTTACATAAACTAATTCAAGATTGAGCTTGTCAGGAGAGAATGGAATAACAACGTTGAGACAACTATCTTCGAAGGCGGGACTTACTGGGAGGGCTCATGAGTCTAAGCGTCGACGGGGAAAAGCACGTCGTTTCAGGGATGGCTGACCCTCTCATGTTTTGCATTCGTGGAGTATAATAAGAATCATTAGTGTTAAAACAGATTAGCAGTCAACGTGACCATGACAACAAGGCCGGCAACAACCTTTACACGCCACACTGAAAATGAAACTGGCACGGGAATGAGTGGCGCGTGCAGCAAAAGAGTCTGTCCACATTACCGCTGGGAAGACAAAGTAGTTTGTGGCTAGGCGCCTAATTATCTACAAAATGAAGCATTTGCACAAGAAATGATTATCATATCAAAACTCACTGATGAAACTAATAACTCGTCCACAGGTCAGTTGATAATATTTCCCATAATATTGTATTGAGACAGCTACTGTACCATAATATTGTATTCAGGACAGCTACTGTACCATAATATTGTATTCAGGACAGCTACCATACCATAATATTGTATTCAGGACAGCTACTGTACCATAATATTGTATTCAGGACAGCTACTGTACCATAATATTGTATTCAGGACAGCTACTGTACCATAATATTGTATTCAGGACAGCTACTGTACCATAATATTGTATTCAGGACAGCTACTGTACCATAATATTGTATTCAGGACAGCTACTGTACCATAATATTGTATTCAGGACAGCTACTGTACCATAATATTGTATTCAGGACAGCTACTGTACCATAATATTGTATTCAGGACAGCTACTGTACCATAATATTGTATTCAGGACAGCTACTGTACCATAATATTGTATTCAGGACAGCTACTGTACCATAATATTGTATTCAGGCAGCTGCTGTACCATAATATTGTATTCAGGACAGCTACTGTACCATAATATTGTATTCAGGACAGCTACTGTACCATAATATTGTATTCAGTACAGCTACTGTACCATAATATTGTATTCAGGCTACTGTACCATAATATTGTGTTCAGGACAGCTACTGTACCATAATATTGTATTCAGGACAGCTGCTGTACCCATAATATTGTATTCAGGACAGCTACTGTACCATAATATTGTATTCAGGACAGCTACTGTACCATAATGTTGTATTCAGGACATACTGTACCATAATATTGTATTCAGGACAGCTACTGTGCCATAATGGTAATATTCAAGGACTGGCTACTGGCACCATAATATTGTATTCAGGACAGCTACTGTACCATAATATTGTATTCAGGACAGCTACTGTACCATAATATTGTATTCAGGTTGGCTACATACCATAATGTTGTATTCAGGACGCTTCTGTACCATAATATTGTGTCAGGACAGCTACTGTATAATATTGTATTCAGGACAGCTGTACCATATATTGTGGGACAGCCTACTGTACCATAATATTGTATTCAGGACAGCTACTGTACCATATGTGTGATAGGACTACTGTACCATAATATTGTATTCAGGACAGCTACTGTACCATAATATTGTATTCAGGACAGCTACTGTACCATAATATTGTATTCAGGACAGCTACTGTACCATAATATTGTATTAAGGACAGCTACTGTACCATAATATTGTATTCAGGACAGCTACTGTACCATAATATTGTATTCAGGACAGCTACTGTACCATAATATTGTATTCAGGACAGCTACTGTACCATAATATTGTATTCAGGACAGCTACTGTACCATAATATTGTATTCAGGACAGCTACTGTACCATAATATTGTATTCAGGACAGCTACTGTACCATAATATTGTATTCAGGACAGCTACTGTACCATAATATTGTATTCAGGACAGCTACTGTACCATAATATTGTATTCAGTACAGCTACTGTACCATAATATTGTATTCAGGACAGCTACTGTACCATAATATTGTATTCAGGACAGCTACTGTGCCAATATTGTATTCAGGACATTCTGTACCCATGTTAATATTCAGGACAGCTACTAATATAAATATTATTATTCAGGACTAGCTACTGTACCACATATTGTATTCAGGACAGCTACTGTGCCATAATATTGTATTCAGGCAGCTACTGTACCATAATATTGTATTCAGGACCTTCTGTACCATAATATTGTATTCAGGACAACTGCTGTACCATATGTGTATTCAGGACAGCTACTGCCATAATATTGTATTCAGGACAGCTACTGTGTACCATAATATTTGTATTCAGGACAGCTACTGCTTCATAATATTGTATTCAGGACAGCTACTGTTCCATAATATTGTATTCAGGACAGCTACTGTACCATAATATTGTATTCAGGACAGCTACTGTACCATAATATTGTATTCAGGACAGCTACTGTACCATAATATTGTATTCAGGACAGCTACTGTACCATAATATTGTATTCAGGACAGCTACTGTACCATAATATTGTATTCAGGACAGCTTCTGTACCATAATATTGTATTATTCAGGACAGCTACTGTACCATAATATTGTATTCAGGACAGCTACTGTGCCATAATATTGTATTCAGGCAGCTGCTGTACCATAATATTGTATTCAGGACAGCTACTGTACCATAATATTGTATTCAGGACAGCTTCTGTACCATAATATTGTATTCAGGCAGCTGCTGTACCAAATAATGTGTTCCAGGACAGCTACTGTACCATAATATTGTATTCAGGACTACTGCCCCATAATATTGTATTCAGGCAGCTGCTGTGCCATATGTGTATTTAGGGACAGCTACTGTACCATAATGGTATGTTCAGGACGAAAGCTACTGTACCATAATATTGTATTCAGGACAGCTACTGTACCATAATATTGTATTCAGGACAGCTACTGTACCATAATATTGTATTCAGTACAGCTACTGTACCATAATATTGTATTCAGGACAGCTACTGTACCATAATATTGTATTCAGGACAGCTACTGTACCATAATATTGTATTCAGGACAGCTACTGTACCATAATATTGTATTCAGGACAGCTACTGTACCATAATATTGTATTCAGGACAGCTACTGTACCATAATATTGTATTCAGGACAGCTACTGTACCATAATATTGTATTCAGGACAGCTACTGTACCATAATATTGTATTCAGGACAGCTACTGTTCCATAATATTGTATTCAGGACAGCTACTGTACCATAATATTGTATTCAGGCAGCTGCTGTACCATAATATTGTATTCAGGACAGCTACTGTACCATAATATTGTATTCAGGACAGCTACTGTACCATAATATTGTATTCAGGCAGCTGCTGTACTGTGTCCATTATTATCTTCAAAGCTCTTAACACAGACTGACACTAGTAACCCGACATTAACAGTTTCCGACAGTCAACATTACATAATACAGTCAACATTACATCATACAGTCAACATTACATCATACAGTCAACATTACATCATATAGTCAACATTACGGCATAGTTACAGTATTCATGTCTTCATTTATTCCCAGAAGACAATTAAAATCACGACCAAGACGGCAGCAGCAGCCGGTATCTGGCCAACACATGAGGCCAAAATACCCATAAAATAACTCACTGCTTTATTAAACTATATAAAATGAGTTAACAGAATTATAATAAATATACATACCTGCATCAGCTATTTTGCAATCCTTAATTACGTGATAAATGTCCATAATTTAGATGAGCTGCTCTGTCCCGGGAGTTTGTTTACAAGTTTTTGGATCTGACCATTTATCAATGACAAACTGACATGCGCAGTGGACTTGTTAATAAACTGAGTTAATTCCTTTTATATTACGATAAATTACTAATGATAACATTAATTAAATTCAACCTTGGCATATGCTGTATAGTCGGGTTAAAAATATAATTAACCAAGGCATTTACAGTATATTGGGGTTAGAAACGAGTTAAATACATGCTAATTATTCTATAATTAAGTAATAATAATAATAATAATAATAATATTATTATTATTATTAATATTATTATTATTATTATTATTATTATTATTATTATTATTAACCAAATCTCGAGAATTTTATCTTTACAATCAACATTTCAGACAATACTAAGACAATTTTCTTCTATGACGTTTCCCGCACAAACGACCTATATATTGGTGTTAATGTTATTGTTATTGTTAGCCATTTAATTAAAGTGATACTCTATTGATCTCTTTAATACTACGGTAATACCTTTAAACTCATTCATTACAATGTTTACATCCGTTTTCTATGTTTAAGTATAAGAAAACGAATCTTATTTATGGGAAGACTTCTTTATTTGTTTATTATTGTCTGCTATAGGAATTATTTTACTTTAGTGTACTTTATTTTATCCTCTTCACCACTGATGGGCTTGTTAACCGCTTGAGAGGTCGTTCACTTCTCTGTTACTATTATTTGTTATACATTAATTAAAAGGAAGGAAAACAGTTACATGAGTCAATAAATAGGACACATTCTTCCTAATCTTTTATTTTTTTTTATTTCACATCACTTACATAATTATTATTTAAAAATGATCTTTAATTAACAATACGTGATAGGCATCTCTATGAAACTATAATACCACGTGATTATAAGAGTTAGCAATAAAAACTTATCATCATCATCAGCATTATCACAATTCAGGCTCTAAACTTAATATTTTTCACCAACGTAGAAAACGCTGTATAGAACCAAGGCATCGATGAAAAAGAACCAGAATTACGAAGTTAAACCAAACCTTTGAGGAAAAGAACCGAAAACTCAAATATTAAGACATAGAGATAAAATTAGTTCTTAGTTAACCGAGCCTCTGAAAACTGGATATTTGAACGTGCTGTGAGAGATGAACGTTTGTGTGTGTGAGTGTGTTGAACTTTCCTTGGGGGAGGAGGCTGTGTACTGATCTGTGTGTGTCTTTATGCGTGTAAATATGACCATTACAACACACTCAATAATAGGCATTTGTGTGTGTATGTCTGTCTGCGACTCCGTGTGTATATACAGTATATAACTACCACACAAGTGACTCATTAGAAGGCAGATGTGTTTATATGAGATACATTAAGCTAAGATACCGCCTTAAATCTAAATTGAGAGTTTTGGGTTGAACGTACGAGGCTAAATACTGTTTACAAAATTACAATACAGTAACTCGTTCAATTAGAAGCAAGTTATATATGGGTGTGGGCGTCTTGTAGATATTAAATGTGTTGTGTAAATTTATTGTAAATGTGTAGATATGTAAGTGTCTCTTTTGTATTTATTTTTTCTTGGAGGGGGGGTTATATTACTGTCTCGTCTATGGTAAAGAAAGTAGTTGTGTGAAAATATATCATCGGGCCTGAGTTTTCGTTTTTATTGTCGATCAAGAGGTTTTAGGTGAGTATGTGCGTGTTGGTGAGAGGTTTGGGAGAGTCTCTGTGTGTTGGTGAAGGCATAAGTGAGTGTTTGTGTGTTGGTGAAGGCATTAGTGAGGGCTGGTGTTAGTGAGGGCGTTGATGAATCTGTGTGTGTAAGGATGTTAGTGAGTGAAGCGTGTCTGTAGGCATCACAAGGCTGTACTGTTGTGTGTATAAAACAAATCTTATATTCAGTACAGCTGCTGCATAACCTGAGAGAGAGAGAGAGAGAGAGAGAGAGGATACATACAAACATGTCAACAAAGACACACAGGTCTTCAAGTGTGGGCTGGAAGACACAGGCCGACACTGGGGTACAAGTTACTCTCATCCTTAAGGGAGGGGAGGGGGGAGATATTAAGTGAGCCTTGAACAAATTTCTCTAGGCTGTGTTTACAAGACTCCTGCTGTATAATGATGTTGTTGTTAAGTCTCTTGAGGCTCTCGTTCAGGAGATACTGGTGTCGTCAGAGGTTGCATCGTATGTGCTTAAGAACACTGAGAAAGTTGCTGTAAGTCTCGTGAGTCTTGGGCTGTCTGTCAAACTGGTCGTGTTGATTATTGATCATTTTCGAGAGACTTAGTTTCCCGTAAGTTAAATTGTTCCTAACCAAAACTAACCTAACCTAACGCCACACATGTACACTCACCTACACAACACTCCCCCCCTCACACACACACACATGCACACCTACAGAACCCCCTCTCCCACACAAACACTTACACCCCCACACACACACACCTACACAATACACCCCCACACACACCTACACAACCTCTCCACCCACACCCACCCACCCACACACACTTACACCCTCACCTCCTTCAACACATGAAAAAGGAAAACCCTCCTTGAGAACCACATAAGGGAATCTCTGTTAAGACGACACAACCTCCCAGCCATTGTGCTTTATGACAAAGTCCAACCACTGGACTTAACGTGATTACGGGTCTGGGAGGGACTTAGAAGACTTATTGTTGGACGAGGAAAAACTGGACATGGAGTGGAGAACTGGAATGAGAGAGAGAGATTGGAAAATATAGGTAGCATGGAGAAAACACCAGGAAGAAACAGTCAATCGGACAGATACGCAGACAAACGGGGAGACAGACAGGCAGGCAGACAGACAGGAACACTATAAACGGACAGACACAGAGACAAACTGACGGACACCCCGAGGCTATAACACCCCGTCCGTTAACCATCAGCCACCGCGTCCGTCTAACAGTATATTACCTGTCACCTGTCAATTACCTGACGGCATACCTGAGTGGCTGTGGGTGAGGTGACACGGGTGAGGGGACACGGATGAGTGGACACGGATGAAAGCACACAAGCGAATGATAAAAGTCAAATATAAATGAAATTAAGATAAATTTGGACACAGTCAGTAAAAGAAAGAGAGAGAGAGAGAGACAAAACCCTCACCTAATCTTCTGCCATGTCTTTAGTTCACCATAAAACATTTATAAGAACACATAAACACAGTCATAATAATAAACAACGTAACAATAAAACATTTCTTCTCAACCAACATAAACAATAACCACTAATTAATAAATGTTTGTCCTGTCTACCTAAACAAACCTGTAAAACAACAACATTACCACCAATAGAGCCCTGGTATCAAATATTGGCCAACTAATACCTTTCCTCTCCTAACTTCACTTCACTCGGCTGTAAATTTCAATATTGGGGCAGGTGATTTTTTTTTTCTCAATATCCCATGATTTTTTTTCTTTACTGGATGTTAATTAATATTAGCGTTTATAAACTCTCTTTCTATATTGCAATTTGGTAAGGATCCTCACCCCTCCCCCTCCCTCCGCAACACCTCCACCCCCCTTTCATCTCACCTCACAGCATACCTAACCTAATAACCCCCCATCTACCGCCCCTCACATCTCCAACCCTATCCATTCCATGTTTATGTTGGTGTGGGGAATGTTTGTCTGTCTGTCTGTCTGTCTGTGTTTTATGTTTTTCGTTTCTTTTGGGCTCTCTCTCTCTCTCTCTCTCTCTCTCTCTCTCTCTCTCTGGCTGCCACCCATCACGCCTCTCTCCACTGCCACCCACCACCCCTTCTCTAAACCACCACCCAGCAGTGACCAGACAGCCGTAGCGACACAGTGACGCCCCTTCAAAACATTTTCCATCTCTCTATTAATTAACACATGATTAGTATTCTCAATGTGCGTCTTAACACTATTCCCGGGGCCTTACAGTGCTATGCTGAGTTAAGGTATATGAAGGGATTTTGGCTTTTAACGTCACTTTCAGAATTTCCTCAAGTTTATCCATGAAATTATTATTGATTATCAGTTAAAGATGTTAACTTAGTAAGGGTTTTAATTACATGCAGTGGTGTTAAGTTAACCTTATACCATACAATAGTTAACAATTATATTAACTTGTGGTGTGGGAAACTAACTGGGTTTAACTTATTCCGGTATTTAATTAAAGAAAAAAGATATAATAATGGTTGAATCTCTGTACAAATTTCGACATTATTCTGAAGCTTAGGTTTGTCTCGTGGCTTAAGAGGACAACAGGGATGATTGATACGCTCACATGTCACCAGCTTAGAGTAAAAGTTATCATACAATATTCTGAGAGATTCTATATTTTATGTTATTAGGTTAGGTTAGGTTTGGTTTGGTTATGTTAGGTTAAGTTAGGGAACATTAACGTACGAACTAAGGAAGGAAAAATCTAAGATCGTGAGTTGGGAACATTATGGAAAACGTCAAGAATTTCCAGCCATTTATCAAGATATTCCTGCCTTCACTATCTTCAAGTGCCGGGCGATGGTGGTGTAGTGGTTGGCTTAGGAAGGATGGTGGTAGTTTAGGGGAGGGAATGGTGGTAGTTTAGGGGAGGGAATGGTGGTAGTTTAGGGGAGGGAATGGTGGTAGTCTACGGAAAGATTTGTTGCTGGTTTAGAGAGGAAATGGTGGTAGCTTAAGAGAAATAGTGGTTGGTTAGGAAAGATGGTGGTAGTTTAGAAATGGAAGACACAAGTTCACCATATTAAAGCTCACATATTCTGAGGCAGTCACGACGGTCTATATATTATTAGGGCTTTTAGAGACGCGACTGATGCACCTTTAATTAAGACACCTTCAAGAGGAGGACCTGCAGATTAATGGAGCTTTGATGAGGACAGGTTCTTCGGGAGGGAGAGGGAGGAAGGTGGAAGGGGGGATACGAACGTCAAATTCGTCTTGCTGTGAGAGACTGACTGGGAAAGTTGAGATGCTTGGGATGGTTTTCTCATTAAAGTAAACCTCCCGGGGTCAACCTCATTTGAGTTTGATTGTGTCACTTTGATTAGTTGGGATTGAACTTTACACCAGTCCAGATTAT